AAAAATGAAAGCGGCCCCCATTGTGCAATAATCGGAATTTGCACGAGAAAAGCGACATATAACGCAAATGGTTTACTTTGTATGTCATGAAATGATGATGTAAATGTACATTGATGTCGATGTCATCAAAAATTGGTCTCAACTAGAAAATCTGTAGCGGTACAGTAGCCACAGGTTTCGCACTATGGTCTTATCAATCGATAGATTAATATGGTTTCCATGGGAGATGAGGCATATAAGAAAGAAATGGAGTTAAAAAATATGGGGTTGACATCAGGATTCACTAAGTCGAAGGAAAAAATTGATTAATTGGCACGAAAACACGTTATTGATCAGCGGAACTCCGGAAATCGGCTAACTTTGGCCGGAAGCTGAGGCTTTGAGCACCGCTGTCTGGCAATAAGAACAGCACCACGCATTGCAAGTTGTAATAAACGGAATACTAGCCCAACATCCGAGCGCGAGGAGGTCTTCCATGCCAGCGACGATGTTTTCTGCGGCTTCAGAATACATCAGCCTGACGACAAGATTCAAACGATTAGCTAAAGAATTCGGTCGGCTATTTCTAACCAGTCGAATAGGAGGGGCGACTTCGAAACGGTGTGCAGTGGCGGCGACGACGGGTGGCGCCGTCCAGCCCGCTGCGGGAGTGTCAGCGAGGCGAGAGAGCGCGGAGACGCAGACAGCAGCCCACCCAGTGTGCTCAACGACACGCCACCAGACGCTAAACCGCAAGCGCCTCTACCTATGTCGATCGATCGCCTGCGCAGAGTGATTGCCGTGGGCCAGCTATCCTGTTAGCAACCAGTGGACTACTTGAAAGCATCTCTTGACTTGAGCAAACATCTGAAGATCCAGAAAAACGACTTCAAACTCTTTTTGTGGTAAATCGGACTTCTAACGAACGAGACGACAAGGAACGATTCGAAAACCTGAGAGATTGGTTTCGTCTTGAAGATTTCGCAAGTCATTCTTCAGGATTAAATTACCTTTCTAGTTCTTCAATGATATGATCGGCTTTAAAAACGAACTAATAAACCAATATGTGTGTTGTACCTGGGAGTTTAGTTTCCCGACATCGTTGTTAAGCTTCCTTCACCATATTAAACGTCTCAAGACTTATTTCACTACCTGTGGAGATGAGTGTTTGTTTGGTATGATGAAGTCCTACAATGACTCCATTTTCAAGAGCGTTTGCTTTTACCCACATCCTTTTATTAAGCTTAGGTCTGACTACAAAGTTATTCGACATATTTATTTAGCCAACGAAACTGTTCAGCAGAAATCTTGATGGCCTTCGTGTCTGGTTTTTGTAGCATTTTTCATGTGAACATGTGGATCAATGCACCATATCCGCAGGTTTGGTTTTTTAGCTGCCACTGTCATTTTTAGATTGAAGACAGTCCCGCGCTCAAGAAATTCATGGGCGTCTTTCCTTTGATTGCAAGAGGTCGTGCGCCTCTCAGGTCCCTTTTCGGCTATTTCACTTTCGCAGTTCACAGGTGTGCCCCTTATAAGTGGCAGTTCTGACGCCTCCCTAATTGTCCTGCCCACCAAAACTCAGATGATATTTTCTGTCACGGTCCCCGATCTCCGACAACAGCTCTACGATTTCTCTCATTTTCCAGGTTTCATCGAGAAAATGTCCGTTCGAGCGGGTGTGGGGAAGCGAAAGAGGAGCACCGCAGGCCCTGATAAGAAATCCAGTAGAGGGGTGGCGGAGGGGATGTATGGTCCACATGAAGCAGGAAAAATCAAAGGTCAACAACCGTGAAAAATCATTTCCCAACACGGTTAATTTCTCTCAAAGCAGCATACAACGAATGTCGTTTTGCCGAAACGAAGCAGAAAGCAGAAACGAAGGGCGGTACGGAAAAACCGTACCAGTGAGCCGCAGCAGGGAGTTTTTTAGCGGTGTGTTTTCCTATCGCATTTTCTTTCTGGTTTATTCTTCCCTGGGGAGACTGTCTAATATTATACCAGGTTTGTAATCGGAATCGGCCACTATCCATAAATGAATGGCTGCGGTTTTATTGGTTGGTGGTCTTTAAGAAATCACAAGCCAAGAGAGTGGCTGAAGAATATTGGAAGCTGCTGCATATTGGAACAGTGCGATGAACTCCAATATGAGTCTGTATTCATTACTTTTTTGCAGAAAGTGGTTATTACGCTTTTTTTTCCTCCTTTCCCCCCCCCCTCGCCGGCTATATACTCACCGTACTATATACTCATCGCTCGGCGACTGGCGAAGAAGGTGTCGAAGTACATTTCGTTCATGAAGAGAGGTGCTCCACCGTTGTAGTGATTCTGAACCCTTTTTGGGCGCTTAATTTTGCAATATGGGTAGGTCCTCCCCAAACTTGGTGTGTTATGCATTAGTTCGTCAGACTTGATCCGAATATTGCTCAATGGATTCTTTGAGGCTGCGAGATGTTACGTACATCGTTGCCCTACATTTTTGATTCTTTTTTCCATATTGAATGACGGATAGCAGCTGAGAAAGGTGCGAAGATACTGCTGGGCGAAACACGTGTGGGATGGCCGGACTTCCGCTTAGTTCGAAGGATCCTTGTCACCTGTTTTCGTTGGTTTCATGCTTTCATTCCATCCTCCGAAATTCTCTGTAACACAATAGTTTTGCAGGATCAAGTCACCAACTTGCTAGTCGGGGTGTTTGCTTCGTAAGTTGCATAGGGTCTGCGAAATTCAACTTTCTTACCGTTTTCTTAAGAGTGCCTTTTAGAGACTGATTTAATTTCAATCGAAATAATGGGGAATTTGCGAACTTTCTTTGCAGACAAAATCAGTTATTTGACGTCAGCGTCTTGAAGTGACTATTCCTGCCTCAGTTTTCGCCTCCATTATCTTACATTTTGCATTCCATTAATAGGAGATTGGTGCGAACAAGTTTAGCGCAAATTTCTGCCACAGTGTCGCTCATTAACAATACGCGAGGGGTTTTCCTATGAATGCTTCCTCTTTACACTCAAAGTGCAGGCTTGTTTCCCCAAAACCTGCCTTCCTTCCCTTCTCGGTTTTCTTGTTGGCCTTATATTTATTTATCTTCAATCCTTATCTGATGGAGATCCAAGGAATCTGAATTGGCGAAAGGTAGTAATATGGATTGTCAAAGCTGTCAATAACGCCGAATGTTTTGTCTCGAATCCAGTTATGTTCTGCTCTCAATCTGATCGGCGGTTGCGCTCAAAATTTACACGGTCATAAAATCAAAAGTCAAGCTACACAGTACCCCATGATTGCGCGTGAACTTGAATGTGTCGTCTCTGTGAACGCACGGAATTGGGGATACCGCAATCCGGTTTATTTAAGCAATAGCTTCGGAAAATCCACACGCTGTTTCGAAGTTTTGTTTCAGTCAGTCTGTTCACATTTCCCACTTCATGTCAGCTGGAAAAGGATAAAAACTGAAACTAAATGCTTTAGGTGGACACCAAAAGCCACACCCAAAAAGATATGGGCTTATAGTCCGTATCCCTGGGATAGAGTGGGCGTGGCTGCAAACTTTATTTGAATAAAGCGATAGCAGTTACTTGAGTGAGGTGTTTTCGTTTTTGGAAACTTGTAATTATGTCTTTGTCCTGCACAAGGCCGAATGACATTTGTTTCGAATCTTCAATATCTCCAAATCAAAACGTATCCTATGTCGTGATGAAGTGGTTTGTGCATCCTCACACTCCCCTTCTTCGGATTATGGAGTTTGGTTTTTTCTGTTAAGAGAGGACACATAGGAAGGTGCTAGGCACCAAAATATTCATCAGCAGTGAAGGCAGTCCTGAGTTTCTTTCATGTCTTTTTATTTCTTGTGCAGTCAACTTTCTAGAGCCAATTTGTGTGATTTTGAAAAACATGTGTTGAATGAAACAAACAAACGAACGAACTGTCGAAAACACAGGTGGTGTGCTTCGTCCCTTCGGCAGCGTTCATACTTCGCGACAGCAGTGGCGATCGCCGCGATCGTCGGTACGCGTCAGAGCGCGCCCCAACGCTATTACTTGGACCGCTCCTTCCAATAAATAAGGAAA